GGTGCGGCTCGCGTGCAACACTGTCTGTGCGTGGCGCGGGGGTACATTGTCGAGCGGGGATGTAGCTCAGTGGTAGAGCGCATGCTTTGCATGTATGAGGCCCCGGGTTCAATCCCCGGCATCTCCAGCGGTGCCTCCCATTTTGCGCCCCGCGAAGGGATCCGCTGATGTTGGCCCCGCGGCCGGTTGGGAAGATAACGCGGTCCTCTGCACGCGGGTGCGCTGCACTCCCGCGAGCCGGTCAGCCATGTTAAGGACTGCATTAAATTAGAGCCCAGCGTCTGCATTGCAGCCTGCGCGTTGCACAGTTCTGCCGCTTTTGGGGCGCGCATTGGAGCCTGCATGTTGCATGGCTCTGCCGCTTTTGGGGTGTGCGGCTTCACAGCTTGGTTACGGGGCTCAGACAGGAGGCACAAACGCAGTGATGGTGCCATGGGCAGGCTGCCTCGCCTAGACCGCGCTGCAGCGTCCGTATGGATTTGCAACACCAAACTCCATCTTGTGGGAGAGCCTGCCATGTGCTTTTCCAGCTGTTTTCAGAGCTGAATGCACGCTCTGTAACTAAGTGAATAAGCTCAGTGTTGCTGTTTACTCTCAAACCAGACGAAAAGCCTCCTAACTGTGGAAGTCTTTCCAATCTTCGTGTCCACCCAGCTCCAGATGTATACAGCACAAGGCACTGCTCCGACCTGAGCAGGCGCAGAAACCCAAAGACCTTTGGGGATCATTTTTCAGCTAAATGGCTGAAACCATTGGATGATCGAGGGTTTTTTGTTGTTGTTTATTTATTATTGTAACATTGAGTTCTAATGTGAACACAAAGAGGCCAGGAATGTCCCCAGCGTGTTTTCCTCCTATAAACTCTGGATGTGCATCTCTGTCTCTCTCAAGCTTCCTTTCTCTTTCGCTTCATCTTTCTGTCTTCATTTTCTCCTTGCTCTGCTTTGGGGCTGGGTGCTGGCTTCATTCCTCCATCTTTATTTATATTTATATACATGTTTATACGAACAAGGGTGGCACACAAGGCCTAGCTTTACTTGTGCGAGCCCTGCTGCCTTTCCATATCATTTATGCTCTGTGAGAGGGGAGCTCACAGCCCTGCCGCTCTCCTGTGGCACATTAAAACAATGAGACTTCCTCCACACAGAAATGAGCGGCTTCCTTTAGGATAAAATAAATCCTTTTCACCCCTTCCTCAAGCACACACCAGTGAGGCCTGCAAGGCAATTCACTCCTCATGGGAAGGAAAGTCAGGAGTCGCGCTTGAAAAGGGGGCCTAAACTGCCGGAAGAAGGTTTAAAAATCCCCTCAAAAACCTTAAATCGCGGGGACGCCCGCAAAATTGGGGGGCTTCGGCAGGTCACCTCAGCGCCCCAGTCCCGCTGCAGCGGCTCCAGGCCGGGACACCAGTGAGGCCTGCAAGGCAATTCACTCCTCATGGGAAGGAAAGTCAGGAGTCGCGCTTGAAAAGGGGGCCTAAACTGCCGGAAGAAGGTTTAAAAATCCCCTCAAAAACCTTAAATCGCGGGGACGCCCGCAAAATTGGGGGGCTTCGGCAGGTCACCTCAGCGCCCCAGTCCCGCTGCAGCGGCTCCAGGCCGGGTTTTACCCCCAGCGCCATTGTCCCTTCGCTGCCCCGCCCCGCCCCTCCCGCCACGGGGCCGCAGCACCGCGCGGACCGCCCTGACGCTTCCGCGCTGCCGGGACTCGCCCTCCGCCCCTACCTTGGGCCCGCGGGCGGCGCGGCAGAGAAAGTAGTGCCTGGCGGAGTGATCCAAGCTGCGGTGGGCGGGGCCGGAGAGGCTATATAAGGGGCGGGAGGTGCGCTCTGTGGCGCAGTTGGAGCCGTTTGGGTCTCGGAGCCGTTGTGTTGTCGGCGTGGTGTGCGCGCCCCGCGGTGAGCGCCTCGCGGGGAGCGGGAAGGGTGTTCGTCGCGGCAGCGGATAGGATGGTTGCCGGAGGGGCCGTGTGTGGCGAAGGGAGCGCGCGACTGGGCGAGGTGGAGGGGGTGTGGAGCGAGATGGGTGGGGGAGAGGTTGGCGAGTGAGAGAGCGGCTC